GCCCGGTGCGCTGGGCCGCTCGGCTCCTGCCGCCCCACCCGGGCAGCGTGGCACGTCTTCGGAGGTTGGACTTTCTCTCCCCGCCCCTGTTATCCCACCCCGCCCAGTTGACACCCATCTCTAAACCCTTGGGAGGCCGGCGCCCCAAGGAGAGACCCTGCGGTGACCACTGGTCCCTGGGGTCTGCTAAGGCGTGGCTCGTCTTCTAGCTGCAATAGCTGCCTGGTCATTCCTCCTTGGGACAGGGACCAGTCGCCCCTCTCCAGTTCCATTTCCTCCGTGCCCAAGACTTCCAGCCGTGTCCTCCCACCCGCACACAGCTCACCTGTGGCTGCTGCCTCTAATTCTGTAGCTCAGCCACAGCTGAGCTTCTCCACACACATACTGCTGATTCCGCAGTCCAGTCATTCCCTCTATTTACATTACAGAAAAGCTTTCCTTGCAAACTCCTACTCATCCCTCAAAGTCCTGGTCAAATGTTACCCTTGCTGGAAGTTTTCCCCCAGACAGTTGATGAACCCTGAACCCTCTTCCACTTCCTTGTCTTCTGTAATTCTAAGATGCATCATGCTTTGGAAATCTGAGTCTCCTTGGCTGGGGTTAACGCTTGCTTGCATTCCCATTGCCAGTGCCCAGGAAATTAGCTGGCGTCAAGGGAGGGACTCCACAAGTGTCCTAAACTCAATTTCCTCTGCTACTTGTGCTACATTTTCTCCACAAAGGCACTCCTTTCCTGCCAACCCTTTTTTGGAAGTGCAAGTCACCTGTCTCTGGGGAAATAGCACTGACCCTAGAGCAAGTGGGAGGTGGGGAGTTCACAGGCCCTGGCTGGCCCCTCCCCCACCTCTTTGGCCAGGCCCTGGCTCATTTCTCCCTGCCACACCTCCATTCTGCCAGAGAAAAGCCAGGAGTGAGGCACTCTCCCCCTCCTAAGACCCCCAACTCCTGCAGCTCATCTCCCTCGCTTGTCACTGATGTTCAGATGAAATGTTTATTTAAAAAAACATTTTAAATCTGGCCCATTTCTCACCTATCAATGAAGGGAGGAGAAGCAGCAGCTGTGTAGCAGGGCCCCCAGGGAGCTGTGTGAATTCTTAGGCAAAGATAAAGTTTGGCAGGGAGAGGGGAGTGGAATCATCCAGAGCCTCTCTAGAAAAGACAAACAGTTTCTTCCATTCAAAACGCTGCTCCCTGCCCCCACCAGCCTTCCTGGCTTTCTGAGCTTGGGCAAAGTTCCCCTGGAAAGCGAGAGGAAGCTGCCTCCCACCCCACCCCGCACCCCCCCCAACCCCAGGCCGCAGCAGGCCCCCTCCTGGTCTGTTCCTATTTTTCTTCTAGAACCCCTTCTTCCCGGACACCCAGGCCCATGAGTTCCTAGTCCCCACCCCACTGCCAAGACCCAGAGTTGGGGAGGCGGACCCCACACAGCGCCAAGGGGCAGCAGGCTCCAGCACTTACCCACTGGCCGGGCACTTCTCTTCAGGCTCCGTGGTTGGTGAGAGAGGCTGAGTGTGGTCAGCACACAGCATGGTGCTTTAGGAAGAAGATTCTGAAAGGGGCCAGACTTCCCTCCCTCAACACCCCCTCTGCCCTTGCCCTTGCCACTCACTGGCCAGGTTGGCAGCGCCAGGGGACAGAAGGAGCCCATCTCCAAGGCAGCCACACCTGGGAGGGAACCAGCCTGCCTCTCCTCGGGGTGAACCTGGGCAAGTCAGGTCACCTGCTGAAGCCTTCACTTGCTCTTTCCAGCAAGTGTGGTGGTGGAGGGCGGCAGAGCAGAATAACTGACTTCTCTAAAGCCCTACTAGGGGCTCAGTAAAACTAGTTCCTCTGGCCCACGATCCTTCTGTGTCCACATTCTCTCGGTCTTGATAATCCCTGCAGAGTGGGGATCCAGGGACACAGCTGAGACTTAAGTGGCCACATCTGCTTGTGGGGCAGGGTTTGGGTCGATGCTGGAGC